AGAGAACACTAGTACGAGTGTGAAGGCACAATTGAGCTTCCTTGGAAGAGACCAAAGCTATCACGTTCTCTTGTAGAAGCCAGCAGACTTATTCTAAAAACTAAAGGTAGTGTCAGTTAGTGCTAGTTCAAGTCACAAGTCATAAGTCACGATTAGTCACTTAATTAGTTAGAGAACACTAGTACGAGTGTGAGGGCACAATTGAGCTTCCTTGGAAGAGACCAAAGTTATCACGTTCTCTTGTAGAAGCCAGCAGACTTACTCTAAAAAATAGTGTCAGTGCTAATCCAAGTCATAAGTCCTAACTCGTAATTAGTCATAGTGAATACCAGTGCAAATATAAGTGCTGTTCGCAGTTAAAGCACAATGCTTTTTGAAGCTTGTTTGGGAGATGCCAAAGTTACCACGTTCTTGTAGAAGTCAGCTGGCTATTCTGGGAAATAAAGTTAGTGTCAGTTAGATTCAGTTTATTTCTCACCCATCGGTGGATTATCAACATATTCAGAGATGCACGATACCTTAACATTTGGTTAAGTCACCACAAAACTTTTGTTTCTATTCACTTTCGTTTGGGAACCACTCTCACTACAGATGACGTTTCATATGAAGACGTTTGCTCCGTCGATATTGCAGAACTGGCAGAGGGAAGCATAGACGGCGACCAGCCAAATAAAAGGCCGAGGACCACAATCACAGCAAAGCAGCTGGAAACATTAAAATTAGCGTACAACACCAGCCCTAAGCCAGCGAGGCACGTGCGGGAGCAACTTTCTCAGGACACAGGACTCGACATGCGTGTCGTTCAAGTCTGGTTTCAAAACAGGTACGCGTGTCTTGTCGAGCATTCGTGCAAAATGTAACTACGAATATATAGCACTTACCTACGGAGCTGGACGAAAATATTCGCACGCTCTTTGAAACTGTTACAACTTTGTAGAAAAAGGAATTCAAGTTGGACTTTGGAGCATCAATTCTCCACTGTTTCAATCGTGTGGCAGGGATGATACTTTTGTTCTGAGAAATTGTAGAAACTCAAGTGCCTCTGAGAACGTTAAAAGGCGACTAAATCTTGAAGATCGAGGTCCTCTTAAAATTCACTGTACAATTTCTTTCTCGCCCGAGTATTAAGATTAAACGACAAAATGTTAAGATCTCTTGAACTTTTCTCGGTCAACATTCAATAAATAAATGGCAGTAAAAAGATCGTACGTTAAGATTAAATGGTAGAATAATTAGGATCTTTCGTTTAAATCTGATGTTCGATATTCGACAAAATGGCGGGAAAAGAGTCGTGAACATTGATGTTAAATGGCAAATCGTATATTATGATTAAATAGAAAAATATTCGAACTTTTTAAATTTTTGTCTGAATCTGACGTTCAAGATTCGATAAATCTAAGATCCTCGTGATTCCCAGATAGATCTAGCCGTGAAAAAGAAATTTGTAGGCGTTCGAAATTTTACAATTGTCGACAACGAACGTGTGTCGTTGCGTTTGACGATCTGTTGCACGACGTAGATACACATTTGGAAAAGAAGCACTCGAGATTGGGACAGTAGAGGTTTTAAAACGAGAAACGTTAGGGACGAAAATTAGGAAATTATGAAATATATAGTAGATAAGTAATGTTAGAAAATTATATAAATAAAAAATTAGGAAATTACGAGATATGAAACGTCAGTAATTTTTCATCGAGCGCGTGGATGAATAGTTTTCTCATGTGTATGTAATAATGAAATATCTGTGTCCGTGATCGTGCGATGCTGCTTTTATCGCGGTTTCAAAGGCTGCGGATAGATAAACGAGATAACACAGATCTGTATGATTTTCCTAACTTGCCAAAGTAAATGCAAAAATTGAACTACAATCATTCGACTGGCTTTAAGATACAGTTTAATCGGAAGTTAATAAGCTCGCTGCAACAGTTTGGACTATAGAGTTTGACGTTGCTGGACGAAAATGAAGAAAGTGCATGAACGACCGACGCACTCGAAGTGACATTTAAATTCTCTTTAAAGCGACTGTTTGAAACTGGAAATTACAATTACTCGAATAATCTCTGACTGTCGGTGAATTTCTCCAAAAAAAAAAAAAAAAAAAAAAAAAGAAGAAGAAGAAGAAATAGCGATATTATTCACGATACCTGACAAACAAACATCGATCAGCTATCACATTATCTGTGAAATTCTTTTTTCGCAATTCGACTTCCCGTTATCTCCGTAGTGAACATAGTAACCAGTTTACAATATTGCGGGGAAAAAAGAGAAGGGAAAAAAAAAACCGTCTTTATCGATTCTGTCGGTTTGTGCAGCCATAATCCCATGGCTCCGTGTGAAAAACGGGGATACACTTTGTAGCAAAAACGTCGATACGAAAAGTAGCATTTATCGCGATCCACTGTGTCATCGATCGTTGATCGTCGATAAAGAAAGAAAGAAAGAAAAAAGGAAAGAAATTGCAGAAAAGTGCGCACGCGCGAAACATTTTTCCTGCTCTCCTCTCAAAGGTGAAATTGAAGTGGACGTTTTCCTGTGAATTTGCACATCGTAAACACCGCGTCGGAAGATACGATCGGAAGATAAAATTGATATTTCGATGCTTCGCTCTTATGAAAGTGGTAGTAATCTTATATTGTAAAATAGTAGCTGACATCGAGGACGGTGGAAGGTTGATTCATCGAGATGCACGAATACGATAGTTTATCATCGCGCGGCTATTTTTAGCCGCGTTGGCGTTATGGGTTTCTGGGTATCGATCTATAAATACGATCTTCGAAAGAAAAAAGAAAATAGAAAGAAAATCCATTACCTTCTTCGGAATTCAATTTTTTTTTTTTTTTTTATCCTTTGCTTCGCAGGAGAGCGAAAGAGAAGAGACTGAAGAAAGACGCCGGCAGAACAAGATGGTCGCAGTACTTTCGAAGTATGAAAGGGACGGGGGCTGGTGGGCATTCACCGAGGCACGATAAACTTCTTGATAAGGACGAGCTGAAGGTCGACTTGGACTCCACCTTCGGGCACCACGGTACGTATCGGTACCGCTCTCATTATGCTAACACATTCGCGATCTGCAAGTTCTTCGTTTTTCTAATACCTCGTTGCCGGCGAAAATGAAGAAAATCGAGCTTGCTGCAAATTTCTGACGTTAAAAGTTAGGGAAAATTAGGAAATTGTGAAATATTAGTGATAAGTAAAGTTAGAAAGTTATATAAATAAAAAATTAGGAAATTACGAGATATTAGTGATAAGTAAAGTTAG